CCCCCCTACTATATTATCCACCACACCCATAACTAACCACTCATAACAGATTCATCGTCTTCTACTCCTGGATTAGTTCCTCCTTCCCCCGTCCCCCCGCCAAGCGTGCCGTCGCAATCGCCATGATCAACGCATTCAGTCAGCTCGGCAATGTCGCCGGTTCCTACGTCTGGGATCTCCCCGAGAACGGATACCGGAAGAGCTACGGCATCGTGACCGCCATGTTCGGTATCACGATCGTCGGCTGCTACGGCTTCCGCATGCTCCTCAAGAACCTGAACAAGGAACTCGAAGAGGCTGAGCATAATGACATCCCCCAGCCGGATGCGGATGAGACCAGGGCAATGAGCAAGGGTTTCCGCTACCTCACTTAGGTTCGGCCTGTGTTTGTTCTTGTTCTTGTATAAGGGTCTTTCATGGGCTGGGCTGGTTTATGGGATCTCGGTTTACGATTTGTTGCCTGGTTCGGGATGTTATATCTGGTTGGGTTTACTTTTCTTTTCTCGTTTCACGATGGAACGTGTATATGATTTTTATTTGACATGATGGGGGTTTTTTTTCCATGTCTGAACATATTCTTATCTCAATCAAAATATTCTTTAAACACTTTAATTTTAACTTTACAAGAGACAAGACTGTAGTCTTATAAGAATAATAAGTACTGGTGCTGTCTTTGTTAGTAGTACTTGAAGCTGTTTACCTACTACCGCGTCAACTAAGGATGTCTATAAATAGTTATAGTAAGTCTAAGTATTCCTTTTGTACTAGGACACTAATATAATTTCTAGAGACCCCCTTCCTGGCCGAGTGTAACATCCCCTAGATAAACGACGGACAAGAAAGAACGCGCTGGATATAGATCAGTGCCCCGTCACTAAGTCCTGCCCCCTCAGAGCTAACTCCCCAAGGATTGTGTGCGGTGTTTTGGTATTCAAGGCACCAACCAGCATTTCCCTCATCCAATATGGGAAGTTATAGGGGGATAGAAAAATGAAGCGAATACTATTCTTGACCACCGTTCCACCAGATATTATCGGGACAACTGTTTCTGACCATAAGTGGTCGAATAATATGTTACCATCACATCTTTCGAAACGGGGAGCCTCGATAAACATAAAACGATGGGCAGACGAGGACATCATCACCTCGATGCTGGACAGTGATGTAGTTACATTTTTCCGGGCCGAAGACTATAACCAACATCCTATTGCCTTTGGAGAATTTCTACTCACGGCCAAAAAAAAGCAATCGAAACAGTTGGATAACAACACGGTGCAAACCATCCCCGTGTAATCAATCATATCGACCTGGTCCAATGGAACATGGACATGAAGTATCTCCTGGATATGCGCGACGCTGGGTTCGACATACCTAGGACGGAAATCGTCGATGCGGAGCAATTTACCTGCACGTCTGCGCTGCATCAACGTCGACAGGCATTTCAATCATCCGGGCCTATCGTTCTCAAACCATCCCATATCTGTGTTCTCGAATAAACACTCGACTCATCCCAGACATCTCAGCACTATTGCGTGTCCGGAGCTGTGTGTGAAGGGCCGTCTGGGAAGCTCCTTGGTTGAGCAGAAATTTTGAGTCCGCCATTGCCAAGGGCGAATATTCCTTCGTGTTCATTGGGGAACAGCTGTCTCACGTTGTGCTGAAACCGCCCCCCAAAAGGGCGAGTTCCGCTGCCGGGCCGAATTTGGTGGCGAGGGTAGTTGCATACCGATCGAGCAAATTGAGGAGACAACGTTGTCGGCGGTGTATTCTATTTTCGATACCCTTAAGGATTGGTTAGGGAACGGATCAACAGGGGGGATATGCACGCATCGATGGCTTGGTGGCCGATGATCGTGCGTTCTTTCTGATGGAAGATCGAGGCCATCGAGCCACATCTTTATCTTGAAATGGAGGGTCTTGAAGATATGCTTTCCCTTTTGTTGACATAGCGTCACGAAAGACTGGGTTGTCGATAGTAGCCACTCCATTTTAAATTTGAACGATGATTCATCCACAGAATCTGATCGATAGAAACGGGCCGCCTCCCTAATGATAACCCTTTAGACTTGACAGGCCGAGGTCTCGTTCTGGTTAGACATCTGAGAGCATGTTCAACGCTTCGCAGACATAAACCGACCCCTAGAGTTATATTCGGGCCTCTCCTGGACTTAGCTCCACGTACGTGAGCATGAACTGCTTGGCTGCGTGACTCGGAAGCAAAATGCGATGAAAGAGACGTGTCTACAGATAACATACGTTATGCAGGAAAAAGGAAATAGGTCAAACGATGAACAATGCTTTTTTGATATCTTGTGCCCTTAATCAAAGATATTATTCCCAGTTCTTTCCAAAATCCAGATCCAGCTGTTGGTATTAACATATTCACATAAATAGGCAGAACTCTATCAAGACAAAAGTAAATTCAAGAAAGAAAAAGAAAAGGACACGAGGAAAAAAGAGCCAGCCGAATGACTATTAGCGCATTATAGGACCTGTCTTCTCTTGATGGCGTAACTCGAAATGATAACCCCCGCGGCTCTGATCAGGTCATGGGTCGCTAACGGCGATACATGATCTCATGGGGTGACCAGACCGGTAGGGGGTCCCCGAGGCTCGTCAGGTTCATATCCGATCTGTTCTTCTCATCGTGGATAACGTTTTCGGAACATGAAACAAGGAGAAATTTTCTGCTTCGGGTTGGTTGCCCATTTGGAATTTATAGTTCGCTATAGGTGGTTCTCGGGCAGTGCAAATGTGTAAGGGTTGATGTTTTTTTTTTTTTTTTTCAGGACTAACAAGATGAAGTCTTAAGCATTTCTGTTCAGGACATCATAGGGATTCTTGTCCTTGACGCTGGAAACGTCTGTGGGACCCTCAACTTCCTCCTTGGTGAGCTTCTTAGCACCATTCTTCACCGGGGAGAAGCCCTGTGCAGGCTCTTGGTTGGCCAGACGTGCCTTCTGCTTCGAAGACGCGCGAGTCCGGATCGGAGAGTTATCGGCGGCGGGCTGTTGGGACTTCTTCCGGAGTGCCTGGGCCTTGTTGATAGCCTCATCCTCAGTGGCTTCGCTCGTTTCGCCACTCATCTCGACGGACTTCTGAATCTCACGGCTCACGCGGTGCAATGCATCGAGACCGGCCTTCTCAGCGGCATGCATGTGGGTGGGCTGCTGAGGACTGGGTTCCTTGCGAGACAGATAGGAACGGATGAAGAAGCGGACGAAAAGGTAAGTCAGGGGCAGAAGATAAGTTACGTTGAGCCAGATCGCAAAACCTTGGCCACTGGTGTCCATGCAAGTAACCATGGGACCTACATGAGGCTGCGACATATTGTCAGGGATCTCCGGCGAATAGCCCACATTTTCGGCAATACCTTCCGCACCAGCTGCCCGGAAGCCGAGCTTCTTGAGCCATGGGGCGACACCGGAAGCAGCTGCGGTAGCCATGGTAGAGCGGACTGCAGAAGCTGCGGCAGCAGCCTTAGTCTGGGGAGGGAGAGTGTAGTGGACAAAGAGATAAGAGGCAGCCCAGGTGGTTCCGACCAGGAACTGGGTAATTTGCATGGAGGTCAGGGAGCGCTTAATCACGGTGGGGACACGAATGCGCAACGCAGTCAGGGTATAATAAGTGTACTACGTTTTTAGGTTAGTTCTGCTGCAGGATCACGCATTCAACCAATCATACGTACCATCATTGCATGGATTCCCGAATTGACCAGGGTGAAGATCCAGATGGGAGGGGCGACGTAACGGATACCGGCCCACATGCACATCATGGCACCGGCGTGGTGGTAAGTTTGCAGGGTCGAGCTCTTCTTGCCCTTGGCCAGGATAATCGCAGTATCCAAAACCTCGTAGAACTTGGACAAGTAGAAGATCCAGCCCAGGTAGGCCAATCCTTGGTTCCACATCCGACCGACATCGGTAGGATCAGGCACCCCGCCGTCGGCTAGCTTGTATTGGGGATTCTGAATGGACCACTGGTCGGTCAAAGCGTTGTAGGTGGCGGCATTTCCGTAGCCCCGGGGACCATTAATCTTGCAGAGCGCATCCACCACACCCATGAGGCCGTTCGGATCATCCCGGTCAGGCCACGAGTTGCGGAACGCCTGGAACATGCCGGCGAAAGTCCATGCGGAGTACACGGCGAGGAAGACATTGTGAAGGATGACGAAAGCCTTGAAGAGCTTTGTCTGACTGAATCCCCAGGGTTTGTATCCGCGACTCTTGTTCACACGGTTGAGCAGACAAACGGTGACGGCGTACACGCTGGCGATGGTGATGGGGACGCGCACATCTAGAAGTTGGTTATACAGCTGGGGAGGAATATTGAACGGTTGGTTCCATGTCGGCTCAGAGGCCTGGGGCGCTGGAAGAGTGGCAGGGAGCTCGTCCGGGGGAAATTTCAATAAAGAAGAGGGCGGGAGGCCGATGCGCACGACCGCTAGGCCCGACGCGGTCTCGAGATTCAGATCGAACATGTTGCAAGATTTCCCACCCCGGGGAGCGTAAAGTTGCAAGGTGAGGCAAGGAGAATGGCTTTGTATCCAACCTCACTTCCTCGGGAGTAAGAATTGCGAGTCCGGGTTTACGGAAAGGGAAAAAAAGTCGGGAGAAAAACTATGGAAAAAAGGATTAGAGAGAAGGTCAACAAAAAAGAAGTATTATATACTCCGTATGATGATGAATACCTTGTAGAAATTGGAGCCCGGAATAAATGCAGGACAACCCCAGCAGCAACAGGAATATCAACTTAGTCGGCAATGAGGCAATTGGCGAGGGAAAAAAAAAGAAAAGGAAGAATGGAAGATAAATGATCGACCAGTTCTCAGCCAAACAGACCAGACCTTCATGTTTGAGTTCTGGGGTCACCAAACGGTCCGGATCAATGGGAGCGAAGATTATCTCCGTAAGTGGAGCCGCGATGCATTTTGTTGGGAACTTGGCCCTGACGAACGCGCAGCGAACCTCGGCCCCAACAGTTACGTAGGGGAAAAAAAATCCATCTGAAGACCATTTGAACAAGGAGTATCTCATGCAACGGTCATTGGCTCAAGCGATCTTTAAGTCTTTCAATTATTGGCCTTTATATCAAGGGATCAGCACCCTATCGTCCAGGACGCAGGTCCCATTGGCCACACGCGATGGATTCCCGCATTGATAATGTGATGGCATGGACGACGATTATCAGTTCTTTCGTAATGCCGTCTCCCTCGGTTGGATTTTCAAGGAAACCAAACAAATCCCGAGACTGAACTCTGGCTCGTTGTACAGTTCCACGCGAGATGATGCGAGGATGATGAACAGCTGCTCTCTCTTCCCGTGGTTCTCCAACGCCATCAAGCGATCCGCTGATTCAGCACGTGCATGACTCGTGGCGATCACAGCCTTAGGCACCAAGTCCTTGCCTTATTACTCTTAGTGTGAAGCATTAACAAACTGTTGAACTCAAATTATGACGTATCAGCATTCATGTATCGGTGTACACGAAATTCGCACACCCAGCAAGGAATCATATCAATCGCCCACCATTCAGGCGCACTGACATGATTTCGTTGCCCCGTTCCGCATCTACATCTGCTTGAAATGCCCACTTGCCAAATATCAGTTATCTCACTGTACAGATTTTTACACTGTTTAGAATGGCAATGATAACGATATGCTACCTAAGCAAGACAACGCCAAATGAATAATGATACAATCGCTACAACAACTCAAGATTCCGAGATGCCTTTATAGAGTACGTAAGAAAAAGAATCGAGTAGAGCCAAGGGTAGTATTCATGGGTTGAATGTTCCGCTCAGCGCGGTTTGGTACCAAGTGGCACTGGAGGAGGTGTGGGGGACGGTGCATTCACCGGTGTCGATCGCATCCCTGACTTCTTGGGGGGAGGGGGTGGTGGTGCCTTCTTTTGACTGACGGACTCAGTATCAACACTAGAGTTGGAACGACTCAGATTGGGATGAGGAGGCACGGGCGGTGGCGCTTGGTCCGAAGGTGTGGAACCCTTCCGGTCGTCAAAGAAGCCGTTTACCCGCTGGGAGATCCCGTACTTCTCATTGAAACCACTGAGCTTCTGCTTTCCAGCTTGGATTTTGTCGTCGTGTTTCTCGCGGAAATCCTTGATAGCGGACGTAGCACTCTGCGCATCTGATGTAGACACAGTGGAGGCCTCACGTCCATATAGGCTTCCCCGGGCCGGCGGGGGAGGAGGTCGAGACGGACTGCTAGAATTCGTCCTCATTTGGGAGAAGCGCGTTTGCAGCTCACTGACCGGAGCTTGACCGATTGACCCACCCGTCGCTGGGGACGCAGACCTCGGTGAATCGCCACGGTTTCCGATTCCCAGAGAGGGAACGGAAACTCCCGCCTGAGCAAGGCGGGATGTAGCCCCTTGATTCAGGTAGCCATCAGAGGACTGTTCTGTGGTAGAATGAGGAGTGTATGCAGGAGGAGGAGTAGGTGAATGGGACTGCGGCGTCGAATTGGTCCGTGGAGGAATTCGGGGTGGGATGCTAGGCTTAGTTCCGGAAGCCGCAAAATCTGCTGGTGACCCCGTGCGTCTAACGGGGGGAGGGGGAAGGGTACTCGGATCTACGCCTGTCCGGTTTGCACGGTACGGTAACGGAGGGGGTGCTGGTTTCTGGGCTGCTGCCTCAGCTTCCGCTTGTTCTTCTTGTGGGCGAGTATCCTGTTGGTGAATCTGCTCTTGCGATACGGGGGCACCTAGGCCCCTCCGGTCTGGTGTTGTCTGGTTTGGGACAGCGGCGGCGCCGTGATATTTGATATGCTTCGGTGGTGGTCCAAACGCTGCTGGGTCCTTGAGCGACGAGAGCGGCCTCGAGACATGTTCCTCACGCTCGCTATCCTTGTCTTTGCCTTTCCCCATCCATCCGGCCTATCGGGAGAGTAGTACATTGTCAGTCCGTCTCTAGTCGCTTTGTTGCATTGAATATAACACACCACTTGGTTAATGCCTTTAAAGTCACCCCGCCAACTCTCCTTTTGCCCTTCTTTGCCCTTCGGGTGCCAGCCCTCCTTGAATACCCCTTTAATCCCACTCATTGTCGGTGCAGCCTCTGTTGACCACGGAAAGACCTGCACAGTTCAGCGAGTAGTTGATGCCAATGCCGATCAGACCAGGATCGGTGAAGATAAGAACGAGTTCGGTATGTCACATCGACCCGTCGTCACTGACCGTTAGGCGCGGGACCATCGTGGTGGATGTTGATGGCACTAACGCATCTGGGTTAGTGCGACCTGGAGGTTACGTTATCTCCAATCTCCGAAAGGGTCACGTGGAGGCCATTCATGATCTTTTGTCATGATTGTTCCTTCGGCATGGAGAATTATTTACACGCAGTTCTATAAATATATATGTATAAGACCGGACGTTGTCAGCTGTGCCCACTCTGCACCTTATCCTTGATGATGTCTTGCCAATGTACCCTGTACTATGTCAGAACTAGAGGCAAAATGAGCCACTAGATTCTAGCCAAGGATTGGCCCCCAAGAAACCGCTGCGCAACATGGCTCTCACCATAGCCACTCAGATGTCGATCAAACCAATGGATTGTTGGTTGGAATGCGCAGAAGTCTGAACCCAAGGCTGACCACTCCAAGATCTTTTTTTTTTTTTTTGAGGAACTTTCTCCCCTCCCCCTCTTGAGTTCGCGACGCCATCTATCAACGGTCTTTATTACAAATGTCTGTGCAACACCGAGGGCACGAACGGCTACTCTTGTCGACAAACCTTGAGTGCCAGGAAACCCTCTTGTAACATGTTGATGTCCCGCATCTTAAGCATCAGCGGAATGATTCCATGTCCCATGGGCGCCATCCACCCAATGGTGATCGGCGTTTCATATTATAGCGCCGTTCTCATCTTCTGCTGATTGGGTAGCCCGCAGCCCTCATTGTTCACTAGTAGCAAAGTCTAGTAACAACTGCTTGCGAGATGCTGCGCCATGTCAGCTTCCTTTGTCTAGTATGCTTTCCCTCACATTTCTTTATCTTACGGCTCTTTGCCGTTGCAGGCCCTCGCGTCCTGTTCTTTTACTCTACTTCTGCTCGCTCCTGGAATTGCACGACTATCATGGACTATAGCATGAAAACGAGCATCCCACTCCTTTGACTCATAGATCGACTTCATTGGTCTCATTGCGTCTACTTTTGGCTTTTAATATTGCGGTAGGTTACATCTAATATGAGACTCAGATGTCTTCTATGTTCCATCCCTGATTCAGTTTGGTTGTCGGCACTACCGCACATATGGATCCTGTTCCCCTCGCCAAATCTGATTTCTGTCATTTTTCCCCTGTCGTGTGTATGTATATGTTGATCGTCATTCTCAGATGTACTTAGGGTTGTGTATTAGGACCGACAACTCTCAAGGAAAACCAAGTTGATTTACTTCCATCGCAAATATTCAGGCATGGACCATCCCATGGTTGTCATTTTGAGAGACCTTATTGCTGGACCGTCCAATTTGCACGCCCATGATCGGGCCCGACAACAACCAGACTGCGGTGTTTCGTGTGATGTATGGCCGAACAAACGATTTCTTTGGGACGCTTCAGGACCGTTTATAGGACCTGAGACTACATTAAATACCGAGAACTTCCCGGCTACAGCCCAGGCGGCACAGACTGCCATGGCGTCTGCAGAATCGAGCGAGACCACCTTTCAGAGGGAAGTCAACCCTGAGCCTGATTATGTGGAATCATTGGCGACGATCACATCGTCGCTGCAATCAGAAGCAACATCTCTACAACGTGTACCACCGATGGACAGCAAGCCTACAGGTCTCCAAATTTCACCGGTTGTCACTGTACCTCCGTGGAGTTCGGTATCCTCTTTAACAACTACCACTAGATTAGCTACACAACTTGAAACAACATCCACAGCAGCTCCAACCACCACCCAATCCGCACTTGGACAAGAAAGTAACGGTGGTGGCGATGGCATCAGCACCAAAACAACAATCGCCATTGTCGTACCCGTTTCCGTCGTCGGGCTTGCTCTCTTCGCAGGACTTCTGTTCTTCTTCTTAAAGCGACGTCGCCGAGAGAGAAACATCGCCTCCACGAGTAACCCATCCTTGGTACACACAATCCCCAAACGAGAACCTTCTTGGGGGGATTTTGGATCAACCCCGAGAGAGAGAACCTCTTTCGGAACTATGGCACAACGACCCATACCACATAGCCATACACTCACACCGGACACCCAGTCTCTAAACCGAGAGGTACGCCCGCCACCATCGGCAGACAGCCGCAACGGCGTCCGAGGTCGCTTCACCGAACAGGTCCACTCAATATACGCACCTGATGGAAGTCCAATGGCCTTAACCGCAGAAAACATGAGCCACCACGAACAACACACACCTCGATCTCCGGCATGGCCTCTATCACCATTCGGAGATCCGATCAATATAAATAACAACAATGATGATGCGGCATCGGCCATTTCGAGGCTCAGTGATAGACCGGGTGCGACGCAGAACCGGGATATGGATGATGTATCGTCTATCTCGTCGATAGATGACAATGAACGGAGGCGAAATACCCGGCCGTAAGGCTTCGTGGATGCGGAGATGTGTGTTTGGGATATTGATTGTTTGGCGTCATGGTCTTGCTCTTGGCCCTTTGAGCTTCTTCATATACTATATACTCTTACTTATACTCCTGTGTACTGTACATTGATCTACGTTCTCTATACCTGAAGCAGAGAACTCCATTTAGCCATTGCATTTATCTTACCCTTGGCAAAACAAGGACCATCCAATTATTCCTGTGTCTCATACAAAATGCAAATGTTTTAGTAGGTAAACAGAGCCCTGAGCGCCTGTCTACTACCTAGCTAAAGCAGTACTCCCTTATGGAGGGCGGTTCTCAGACATAATAACCACGCTAGTAAGACCTCGAACACCTCATCCCTAGAGAAGAAAGCTTTGTATACCTTTCAAGTAGACCCCCTCTATCTCCACCAAATTTGGAGGAAATTTCCTGGATAAAAAGCTGAATACACAGCTATTTACCTACTATATTAGGATCAAGTGAAATTGGAGCAGAAGGCAGTATGGGTCACGAACTGGGCATACAATACATCCTTGGTTTACTAAAAGATACACTTGCCGGAGGTCCAGTTCAGACTGTGGTCAACTTTTTCTGCCAGGTGGTAGATGGGTTGACCAAAATCCTCTGGATGTCGGGCGGTCGGGTCCCTTGAACAGTGTCTTTGGTATACCTAATCGTTGGAAGCCATGACAGCACTGTTAATATGGATAGATTATATGATATTGAATCTATGCTCAATATATACAAAACTTTTGAGCTTACACCAGATGAGGTAGTGGTGCATGCGTTGAGGTATATGTACAATAGTCTCGGAATCAACGCCCACCGAAATCCGGCTTATACGCAATCACCTTGCCCTTCATCAGCTCTCTCAGGGCCATTGTGGCATACTGACTGGATCCCAGCTGGAACTTCAGAACGACAGCAATTTTGTCGGCGGAGTCTGCATTAGCGGCGGTGCTTTGCTTGCCGTTAAGCTTCTCCAGGTCCGTCTGCACGAACTGCTCATCATCCACGGAATACAACTTCACCTCGGCCGAATAGTCTGCCCCCATTCGGCTGAGGAACTTCCGGTAGCTTCCACTCAAGCTGATGTCCTTCCATTTACGGCGCATGTCATATGGATCTAGACCGCCACCTTGTTCGCTGCCCATGAAGCGCTTGTAAAAGCCATCCATAGCATTGGCGGGGTAGAGCACGTCGAATCCTGGCAAGGGGAGGACAACGTCGAAGATCGTGTACTTGCCGCTGGCGGCTTCCTCAGCTGTCAGGGCTCGTGCGCGTACAAAAGCATCGCTTGCGGCGTAGGCGCTGTCCTCTGCGTGCGGGGCGATGATCACCTCGCCGTCTGCGTCGACCTCAGTGGCAGGGCCATTGGCATTTTGGTTCTTGTCAATGTGTTCGTGAATGAGAACCAGGTCTCCCTCCACGACTTTGTCTCCGTACAGCCGCCACCGCTCGCCTGCAGCGAAGTTCCAGACCAAAGATTGGTAGGCGTGCACATACATCAACCGCAGGTTCCGGGGAATCGCCTGCAAGGCTCCGAGGTAGTCATTCTTGGAACGGCCCAACTGCCGTATCAAGTTAGCTTCTGCGGAGAACTTCCGAGGTAATTTCTCAAGGGCTTCGTTGATTCTACTAGTCGTTTCGAAGATGTAGATGGCCTCTGCACGGGCCTTATCATCTGAGCTTATCAGAGTGGTCGAGCTCTCGCCTTCTTGGGCAGCGGCCAGAACATGGGGGCTATAGTGAAGGATAGCATCACAGGCGCCTTTGAAGTCTCCCTGTAGCATTTTGACACCCACTGTGTCCGTCCGCGTCGCAAAGGTTCCAAAGCGCTGAAGACCGTAGTAGTTGAAGTAGCCACGCTCACGCAGGTTTCGTAAAGCCGAGCCTACGCGCTCAGTGGCATTCTTAATGGCGGTTTCACGATCTTGAAGGTCAATGCCTGGGATATCACATTCACGAAGCGTTATAACGAACTCGTTTCCGGCGAGATCGCCTAGCTCAAGGCCATACTTGCGATACTCAAAATCGCCAAGTGCGGCATTGCGGAGAGTCGAATTCATTTTCGCAAGTCGATCAGCATGCACGCGGTGAGCGCAAGCCCTTTGCGTCGTCACTCCGCGTCGGTCCTTAGTGCCAGCAAATTGGAAGCTCTTGGGATTCAACCTCAATGTGCGCGCGATAAAAGATATAACTTCCATCGTGTCCTTGTTTTCCTTGTAGATAGTAAAATGCAAATAGGGGCCTCCCAGCTCATCCCAGTTGACACGGCCTTGGTTCCGGCCACCCTCGCGAGCACCCTGCGCCTTGCGCTTGGTTCGGTTTGCAGCGACTGAGATGGTCATCAGGCCTTCAGCATCAGTGGAAGATTCAATCTGCGAATTGAAGATGCGACGGATCGTCTGGTGCATCTTGATGCGCAGGTCGCGATCGTTTACAACAACGGTGGGAAGTCTTCCCAGTTCACTTGGGCGGGCTTTCTCATTGGACTGGGCACGTCTATGCAGCGATATAATTTTCTTAGCGTGATCGGCGCCAAAATAGGAATCCAACAGCTCCTTGTCCTCATCTGAGATTTGAAACTCGACTGCAGGTGTCTCCGCGTTGGGTGTGGCGTCGCTCGCAACCGCCGCTTCTGCATCCCCCTGTTGTTTGTTCTCTACTGTTGTTTCCGTCTTATCCGCAGAGTCATTGTTGTTCTGTTCCGACTGAGGTCCAGCCAGGGCACTTAAATGCAGCACTTCGCCCGAGGGAACGATCTCATTGACCAAGAAATCGGTATACCTGAAATCACACAATTCCAATCAGTGAAAGGTTTTCTCTCTCTTATTGGAGAAAATACCTCTTCTTCAAGATGCCAGAAAACCCCGCATTCTCTGCGCTAACAAACTCGGTAATCCCAACTTCGGCCTCCTTCAATGCTTGAGCGTCACGTTCGGAGATTTCCGCAGGGGCTCCGGCGGAAGGGGGGAGGGTAGCTTCATCGGTCGTAGAGGTGTTGTCAACCTTAAGCCGCTTACGCGGCGACTCGACAATGTCAGCGCCTTCCATTATGAAACAAAGAGCGGGGAAGGTGATGTCAAGTTGAAGCGGGAAGCGATAGCAGATGGCTTGATGCGGACTGTCGGAGCTCTCGATAGGTTTTGCTTCGACGGCTCCGAAAGGAGATTAGCGTAACCCTAGCCCTACATCTCTGATCAGGGAAATGCGATACGATGCAGTAGATGGGCATATCACATTCTTCAAGTTTATTGGGGAAGTTGTTTCTGCTTCAATTATATCTCTGGTTTCTGCTATCTTTATCATGAAGTTATTTACTATATGGGAAAATATAAATTCGCAACTAGATTAGTACACACACTCAGTGAAACTTGCAATAGTTATCCGCGACAGTATATAATGCAACCGTTCACTTTGTCAAGCGCAGTAGTTAGAGTACTAAGAGTAACTTCATAGGTTAAGAAATAATTCTTTGACTCATGACTATATTAAAAGGTGTATATGCCCTAGTTGAGGTTTGAGTCTCATAATATGGACAAAGCGTTACTGTAGATATCATTTTTAGGATGACCGAGAGTCTAGAAGATTGACATTCCAACACCATTTCGAACTAAACCTATAGGCGATAGAAACCAAGGAGTGAGATCTTGTGCATAATCTATACGCTTCTATATGTCATGAAGGCTAGTTCAGGGAGCGCTCTGTCAGATACACATTATTCAGCCTGCTACGATCATCTCTCTCCCTCCCATCAATGTCTCACCAGTTGTCCCAATGCTCAAAGCTCCCATTGTTGGAGGTGAGACATGCAGCGCACTAGATATAATCTAACAGAGATAATGAGTCGGAGTCGGGCAGCCAATCTCGCAGCCAGGTGGTTCCAACGGGGAATACTTGATTAAGAGGGCCCACAGGGTCAACACGAGCCATGGGTTGGACGCCGTTTAGTACCCGTACTCATTCTGTGCTAAATTAGGGACTGCCATGGCGCGGTTAGGCCCCCACTGCGGATATTTCTAGGGTTCTTAAATAGTAGGGATCTTAGTATCTTACATCAGCAGGGTCTCTTCGTGTCTTAGAATCGAGTAAAGATTGTCGTTCGAGGTCTCGTATACGACGGGTGACAGTGATAAGGACTTGTAGTAATGCTGTGATATTCACCAGACAACCAGAAAGAAAGGCAAACAAAAGTGCCCTTCCAGCGAAGACGAGTATGACGAGAAGGGAAATCTGATAGTAAGGAGCATATCCTAACGTTGGAGGCTTAGACGTTGGAAGGGACCCCGCTAGAGCTAAACCAAAGACCAAAAGATCTCCGGCTAAAACTTCCCATTCTGTTTTGGCTCAACCAAAGACCCTTGCCAAATAAAATAAGTGAATATAATATTACTCGTTCGGAGAACCACCAATAAGGGCACCCTGGTCCTGATCATCTGGAGTCGATCGGTTGCTGTCTTTGTCCATCGCTCCACAAATTTCTAACCCAGCATGCGTCCCCTGAAGTCAAACCAAGAAATCTGGGAGCCACTTCCGTATTTCTTCGAGGCTTGTTTCCCTCAATGAACTTGGCAATTAACTCCATCCGCTCGTTCTATTCAAAAACCGATAGCGATGATTCCACAAAGACAGAGGAAGCTATCGATAGGTGGTCGCAGACTGATCCTCTTGCTGTTGGCGGTCCTGATCTACGTCGTTCTTTACCATCTCCCACCTCCGCCAAAGACCAAGAACAATACCAGTTCAAATAGAAAGGCCCCAAAATATGATCTGGACACTACTCCGCGATTCCTGCATCTCTCGTCCTTTCGTGAGGCCCCTGATCCAGATTATGAGAAAAGGGTATCGGATGCACTGCTAGAAATAGAAAGAAAAGCCCTACGCGAGAGCAATTGGGAAACCTCTACCGAAGACCGAATCTGGCAAGTTGCGCTCGGTAAATACATTGAGCGAGAATCGGATTCATTAAATTTCGAGCAAGAAAATAATGGATGGAAGTATTCAGTAAGGCGTACTCCACACAGAACCAGTCGTACTTTCATACTAAGACCAGACAGCTGGTGGATGACAAAAAAGCATCCAAATTCATTACCGAGATCTTCTCGAGCGTGCCAGATCTCAAGAAGTTGTATGATTCTTACCCATACCATGTGATACGTTCGGACCTGATCCGATATCTTATTCTGTGGTACTATGGTGGCTTCTACGCAGACATGGATGTTTATCCTGCCCGCTCCATCAAGGAATGCCCGGCATTAGAGCCTCTCTGGGAAGATGGCTCCAAAAGCCTTAATGTCTCCCTTGTTGTAGGCATTGAAATCGACGAGCCACATGCCTCCCCGCGCCTCATGCGTGAGTGGCGCTGGATTAGACGATACCAATTGATTCAGTACACTATGTACGCGCCGCGACGCTTTAGTCCAATACTCCGAGAGGTGATTGTTCGAGTCATGGCTCACACAAGACGACACATCAACCAGAGCAACTTCCTGCGTGGGCCACACTACAAGGAGAACACGATTCTGGAGGTCACAGGACCTGGAGTATTTACCGATGCAGTCCTAGATGTACTATCTCAGACGCTGCCGCCGACTCACAACTTGGTAGAATCGTCAGTGAACGCGGATGCTGACATTGGGGATCTCGTTTCGCCGTCTACCGGAGTGACCCAAAGGCGGGTGACGTGGGCCCCGTTCAACAGAATCAAAGAGCCGGTCTGTGTGGACGCATCGGAGGCCATGGATGGAAAGTCCATGGGGGGCGTCTGCGTCTTACCTGTGAATGTATGGGGAAATGGACAAAGACACAGTGGTGCCGAGGGGTTCAGCAGTAAACATGCATGTATCAACCATCGCTTTGGGAGAACCTGGAGGAAGGGCTGGATGGAATACTTCTTTGGGTAACTTAGGAGGTATTCTTGTTCTATGATGGGAAAACATGCCATATTCCAGGGAACTCCTGTATGGCCCTTGCAAACAACATCCAAATCACAAAAAGGATGATTTGGAATACGTGTCACAATGACCATCTGAATCTCTGCTAGGTACCTCGCCCACGAGACTTGACTACAGGGGCTGCTTCAAAGGGAACTACCTATTTACGGCTGCTCTTTGACGAAGTCAGAGATAGTGGAAGTATGGATGTGATATGGCCACTCCAAGGGACAGCACACTGAAGAGAACCAACAGATGAGGAGCTGGAGTTACGGGATTATACGAGGACATGACAGTGACTTACGGACATCGATAACATTAGCATGCTTATTACCCCGACTATACTATGTATTTACTGTATGATATTCGAGCATTTCTGTACATAGGCGAACCCGAATATTTTTGTTGCTCCTTTCAAGACTGCTTTTAGGTAGCACGATTTGATCCTACGATAATATCAAGCCCTAAACCTCATGCATGTCACGAGAATGAAATCTGCAGATTCTGGCAAGCTCCTTTCTAACCTAGGAGGAAGCACTAAGCTACCTTACCGTAGGATTGATCACTGTGATCCGACCTCTATAAGAGAAAGTCTAGACCCACTCGACATGGTAAAATTCGAATGAAAGTGTTAACAAATGATCCCAAAGAGCAATTATGCGACTGTCCCGCATAAAAGCCTTACCGTACAGAAGACATCATAAAACCCCCCTAGAAAAAAAGCACATTGCAAACGAAACCCTATCCCTTACCCCGTAGAACCAGCTCCCACACTTCCACAAAAAAAAAGGGAAGACAAACACCCATTGAAATCCTTAAAGTGTCACAACTTGCTACTCAGACCACGTCAGCATCAGCAGAATCAAGGTTACATGGGGTTCATGAATGTTGGGAGCTCGGTAGTTACCAACGCTCCAAGCTGCAGCAGCCATTGATTGTTACGGATCCCGTTATAGCAACGAAGAAACGGCAGCTGGTGTCTCAATGTCTAAAGATATCGTCTTTGCGGGTACACAAATATCGTGTAACATGCTGGATTTGTCAACCGTTGACCACGCTGAACATGTCCTTATTAGATAGATCGGGCGCTTTAGACCATGGGTATATATATTCTGTGGTGTTTTTTTGTGCTGATATCTTCTTGTTCTCTGTTTACAATTCCAATTATCTTTGGATACTTCTACTGTTGATCTCTATATCTAGCATTGGTCTGTATCCGACATGAGTGACCCATCAACATATGAGCCGTCAAAAGCACAACTACGACATGATCCAGTATACTATGTGAAGCCAGGATCCGACGACAAAGAGAAGCTGAAAAGATGTATGGAGATATTCGAACATCAGGAAATACATCAATGTTTCCGTGAGTTAGAAGACGAACCGGGAGCTGATGAACCCACTATCAAGAGTGCTATCGCCCGCAAAAAAAACCTTTTGATTGATGGCATCACGGTCGATGCGAGCCTACACGACCTGGTATGCGTGTTCGTCGATATACCCGAAAGCAGACCTCTCAAAGCTCATCGATGTCTCCTTGATTCTAAAGAGGAACTGCAGAAGAAGATTGATACCACCGAGCATCAGGTTTCCGGCGGCCCGTCCTTTGATGCGCTCATCCCAACCGTGCCAGTTGATGATGGGTATGTGAGGATTAGCTACAATTTCTGCACCAAGGCTACGAACGGGAGAGTGGTGTATGAAGAACTATGGCATCTTATCGGTAAATACCTTGAGAATAGGTTGACTGAGGATCTGCCAGTTATTCTCGGCGATGAACTCCGCATGGCTCGGACTGAACCTAGATCGTGGCGGTTAGAGCGTGGTTATGTCCACGACAGGAACCCACTGGGTGTCTCGAAAGACATATTTTCTCCGGCTTGGAAAAGGGTAACAGAACGAGAAAGAACACGGGGATAGTCATAGCACCTGGTTAGCATGGATATAGTATCTCGTTGTTTCAATGCTTGAATTCGTTTAGAATAGGGGCCTATGTTTAAGAGGGATAATGCGCATGTAACCTAACCTTTGATACGATTGTTCTTTAATACTACTATGGTTATCTATCAGCTTGTCTCTTTTGCTTAAGGTCCGAAATTTTGCGGTGTGCCGCATGGAAGTTGCTGAAGGAGAAAGCTCGCTCTTTGGTCTGATTTGATGAGCGGATGTTGTTTCGGGGTAGTGATACTTTCAAATCTCATGAGATTCTACCCTTCAATCATCCAAAATCTTTGGAAGTACAGCTATTTGAAACTATATGGCTTTGATGCCCGTTGAACAATGCACATGCGTTACTTTGTTTTTATTGTTGTGTTTGTTGGGCTGAAAGGCCCAGCTGGAGCATATCAGCGTGTCTTTCGTATGCATTGAGCAAGTTGGAATTCTGGAGGACATGGAGGCAACTTGGAAAACTGCTTTAACCTCCAAAAATAGCCTAGTTTGTAAAGTGGTCTCGTCAGCATCAAGCAAAAGTCAAAGCGGCATGCGTTCTTGTACATTGAATACAGTAGTTATTCTAAGCACCTGCGTCAATAGGTGTATCGCAGTATAATAATGAAAGCCACCCACACTATGTCATTGGGATTTAAGGTGCCTTTATTGAATAAACACTGGTACGTCGCAATGAAATTTCCATTACTCGATTCGTAATATTGTGTGTTTACAAGGAGAAATTAACACTTCCTGGGTGTATAAATACAACCTTGGTCTTCACCTAATGATGTCTAATTATTCTGCGCCATTGGGATCAGTTACACCTCTTGCCAATTGTATTTCAGGTTCACAGCCCACCAGAAAACAGATCAGCAGACAAAATGCGGTCTCTATCACCAGGAGACCCTGTTTTCTTCTACGCCGCTATAGACGAACACGACCGTGTCATAGATCCACCAAATAACACCGCCATCAAAGAATTTCTGAGAAGCAGCCGTATACCCACAGCAGAGCAGACACGCAAGGAAACTCTTTTCATGGAGGGAGTCATGGTCGATGCGACAGATAGAAATCTCGTCTGCATCTTCTTCGACGTGAAAGATACAAATTACGTCTCTGAACTCGTCCTTTCTTCCCTTTCCCAACTGGAAAAAAGGTACCAGGACGTCGCCGAGGACCATATTGGCCCCCCGGTAGGCCCTATTGATCATAATTACTTTAATCATTCCGCAGTCTGGAACTGCGGACTCTACCCTGGACATCCAAAGGCCAGGGTGAGGGAAGGGTACGTGAGGATTTGTTACATGTTCGAGACCCGGGCCAGACATAGTGGCGAGGCTCTTATGTGGCTGTATTCCATGCTCCGGGTATTGTCTAGACATCCTGATTTGCGTCGGGGTGGTCTGCCCATCGAACATAGAGGTTTACATGTATTTCGTACCAGTCCGACCCGGGGCTTACATCGGTACAATCCTAGGGCACTCCGTGGTGTTAGAAAAATCTATTGATGTTGCAAATTTACTAGACTATGTTGACTCCCTGTCTAATTTTCTTTTCCATGTTTTTGTTGAGCTTAGGAGTCTACACGTGAAGGCAATATGGCTTGCTGTTAAATATTACTGTTATCTTTTTCAATCACGTCCGTAAATATTGATACCTGCTGACCACGGTGCTAGACACGTTTCTTCTTTACCGATGAGAGCGTTTGAAACTGGAATCCAAGTTGCTTGAACAGACATATTGGAAATGACCGTGGAGGATTATCGAGATTGAGTACCATGCCATGTCAAGACACTACATGCCGTCTTTGATGAATGTTGGTAATAGCCAAGGCTTTCCCCGCTTGCTTAGTAGATTGCCTATGCTCAGTCGGATGTGGAGTATGCTAGTAGTCCTACTGATGGGACTTGGTGTGGACTGGAATATATAGAGGAACATTTAGGATTTGAAGGGAATTTCCCTCATCTGCTGCTACAAACACCGAGCCCTATTATATATACTGGGTAGCAGAGACTCATTTGTGGCTGCTTACACCTGGGGTCTTCAATATATAAGGAGCCGGTTGTCCATCTTGAACAATTAATTTCAGTCACATTCCCCGAGTATATCAACAATGGAGATGCAAGCAAAATCACACTGCCATTCATGATCGAAAACCATTCTCTGCGGTCCTGAGTACGCCGGTAAACAGATGTGATTTTGCATTCCATCGCAGGCGCAATTCACTTGGACTTGAGGCGAGAAAAACATACCATATCCCGTAGAAAGATGCTTGTTTTCATAATCCAGTCGCTGAGTCAACATCCGCGGGACTTGATGCTGAACCTGACATGGGTAATTAGTTTCGTATTGTTTCTATATTGCTCGAGAATAGGTGTTCCACGTCTTAGGGGATTTGTATTTCTATGATCTGAGACTGTCCTAGTCCTTATTTTTCAGGCTTTCTCCTCGCGGCATCACTAAGCCACTCTATCTATTGCTAAATCCTACTCACAGTTACAAAGTCTCTATACCCCAGCTCTCCAAGATTTTAGTTCTAGATAACAGTACTCGACGATGATAAGAGAAACTAGGGTAATCTACTGGATAAGCCCCAGGTGTCTCCCCGGGGACATACACTAACACGATCACAGGAGCCACCGAGTAGATAGAACATTGATGACCCACGAATTGGCGTAGGTTCGTGCTAGTATCACGTAGTCAGTGGAAGTTTGTCTAGATATTTGTATATACAAAGAACAAAAAATAAATTAAAGCGCTGGGTGAGAGATACAATCTTAGCACCTCAAGTTATCTTCACCTGGGTAGTTCCAATACTTGAACGGCCGTGACCACCGCGAATGACCCTCATAATTTGGCATAGCGCGATCAACCCAAACTACCTAAAGTTCCTTGAAACACAACCACGGGGATAATATGCTCCATGTTTTATAGTTTGAGTAAACTACGTAGTGCTAAATATTCGGATAGGTATCCCGTACCACCGGAAAGACATTCCGTCCTGCGTCTGGAACCGATACGGATCAAAGCCAATGAGTCCAATGTACATGAAACATTCCTGATCGATGTTGTTTCTAAACCAAAGAAAAATTCTCCATTCGGGATGACACACCGTTCTTTCAGTCTTGCGACAGTCTGTGTTCATTGAGCTTAGTTAGAGGTCCACAGCCGTTGATGCAGATCATCGCAACGAGGGAATCCAGCATCCTAGAAAGCGAAATCGCAGACTTTGTTCGATAGATATGATGTCCCTAAAAGCCTTGAACTATATATAGCAGCAAACCTTGGACACGGTATTCCTTACTTAGTTCTACGGCTCTGGTAAGACAAAGCAAAGATAGCGTCGTTCAGTGTCAGAGTGTGTCTTTGTTATACGCACATATTCTGTAACTGTGCTCCCTTATGATACATTTGCACACCCTCATTATAGTAGACACTGTCCCGGATTTCCAAGTATATGTATGGGCTGGTTTTCCCTCTGAATCCTTCCGGTCTCTGTCTACCATCTCAGTCATTTTTCTTCATTATCAATCCTCAGTCATATCCAAGAAACAAAACTTATACAGCTCAATATTCAATATGGAGCACTGTAAATCAGCACGCGGAGTGGAAAGCCAAGAACAACAATCTCAATCCGAGAAAACCACTGAACACGTCCCAGTCTGGCGACTCATACAAGAAGAGTTCAAGACAAACCAAGAACCATCTGAATGTATCAAAAAGTTCCTGGATGACCTGAGGAAGCTTGATCCAATTTGTCACATGAGAACACCACCACAGTGGCCCCTGAAGGTCCATCTTTTTATGGACAAGATTGTAGTTGACCTGTCCGTTAAAGATCTCATCTGCCTTTTCTTTGATATACCCTGGATTCACCCTGGAAACGTCAACGCCCTCTATGCCATTGAACAATCTAAAGAGAAAGCGGACAAGATCCCGAGAAACAATTGCGCTCACATGGTCAACCCACTGAACGACGTTCCTGAGGGAAACAAGAGAGTTTGTTTCATGTTTGAAGCCTTCAACTATACTCAGCCAAGCGTGCTCGATAATGAGTTGGAGACGTTTTTCGCTGGAATTAAGAAGGCTCTGAATGATCAAGGGGAAGAAGGTCGACAAAAGACTCTTCCGATTGAATGGAAACGTTGTTACGTGTTTATGGTTGAAAAGATCCAGAATATAGCAAACTGGGATAAATCGCCAAGCAACATCGGAGCTATACCTCTTGAGAGCTCACCTTCTTCTTCTCCAAGTTGACGGACCTCGGTAACTGGTGGACTGTATGCCTTTTCTTTTGTACTGTTTCCAATGCAGTTCTTAATTAGGAGCTTTCTTTGAAGGAGATAACGTGTATACAGTTGCTATCTACAATGAAATGTTTTTTTGAATTTTGATCTATGAACGCATGCTTGATCAGTAGCGACGGATAATTTGTACTCAAGTGCACATCAGTAATCAATCAGTATACCTATTTGTCTGACAAATGCCTAAGCCTTGAGCATGAGCTGTACCATGATCCGAAGCGTAGGGAGCCTGAGTGATATAAAGGCTCCGCCGGTATTTATGACGATGAAAAACTACATTCAATGTCGGAGAGTGCATTTGTTATACGCAAATATTCTGTAACAACGGAATTAATGTCTTTACCACCTGATATCCTACATCCAAAGTGGCAGAAACCTCAAGTGTGAAAGTAGGAGAACAACCTCGTTAAGTTCCTCAAAAGCATTTTTATGACACGGAGAAATCAAATAGCTTGTCAAAAGATTGACCACGTTGGTGATCTCCAGTGGCAGAACCCTTTACATATGCTGGGAAGTTACTAAAATTACCGCGAAAGGCAGCGTCTACTGTCTGAAGTTATCCTAACACAAGCAGAATGGCAGTATATCTTGCTGGATTTACCATCCTTTTATCCTCCGAAATTAGTATTTCCCAGGAAAGACAGAAGCTTCCCTTCAGTCTACAGGCATAAATAGGGACTCACTCCTCTCTGATTCCTTGACTTCTTTGTTCGCTCACCATCTCAAGTATCCCTAGTTCTTTGTCAATATCTACACCTCTAAGAAGCAACGAAATCTCTAGCCCCAAGCGCATTGACTACGAGGCAAGATGAATGGCCAGCACAATGACAGATCAGCACCCCAGCCCAACCGACAACAACCACGTTGGGTCATGCCAGACCCGTATGACCCCCAAGAAGACCTTTTCAAACATGAGATGCGACGTCATTACCAACCCACAGAGAAGGAACTTGGACGTAGAGGGAGCCTCTTCTCTCAATGTATGATGCTCGACGCGACTCAGAGTAACCTTGCCGCTGTTTTTGTCGACATACCTAAGAACCCAATCAGTACTGGCCAGGCCCTTCTCGATGCTATAAATGAAGTGACTAGGAGGGTGATTGGTAGCGAGAGCAGAAGCGATGAGTCAGAGGAGGACAATGGCTATGCAGGACTCCCGGACGACGATCTCGCGGAATGGAAGGAAAGAATTTTCTTCATGTTCGAGATGGAACCTACTGCCAGAACGTCCAGCGTTATTCTCGAGGCTCTAGATAGCTTCATCCAGCATGCCAATGAAGCAAATGAGCACATGTCGAAACTCGAAGAAGAACAATTGCCGATCGAGGTCTTTAAAGGCTATACCATGACTAAGGCTGATCCTAAATGGGCCGCTGAGGAATATGACAGACAATATGCTATTGCAAAGCCCTATGAGGATTGGGCGCCATGCGAAGCACTAGAATGGTTGGAGCGGGCAGAATGCTCTGAAACAATAGATTTAGATGACTAGTTGAGTTGAGCTAGTTTTGTCTCCATTGTTGAGTTCGTTGATAGTTGTTGGAAGATGAGAGAAAAAAGGACATGCGCATGTTTTTGGCTTTGAGTCTATCGTTATTGTTGAATTGAATGTCATTGGTATCCACTATAAACGTCTTTGCGCTCATTTTAGCATCGTAGATACACTAATCTTCTTTAAAGCTACTATAATACCTTTATGATTCTCTATATAGAGTGATAAAGCATACCCAGGAACAGCAATAATCCAAGCCTAACTCTTATTTTGCACAGCCAATTCTATAAAAGTAACAATGAACACTCGACACCAACGCCATTGATCTCAACTACTACATCCCTTCAAGGCCAACAATCCCACCCCCCAAAGCGCCAGGAACTTCAGACATAAATACTCACACATTCCACCTCTCACTAACCTCCCATGACCGACCCTCCACAACCCTACCCCATACCAAATAACAACACCAGCCCCCCAAAATGGACACACTAGCTACCCCCCTCAAGCCTCGAAAACGCACAACCACCAGTGCCTTCGACGCCTCGCGCAAAAGAACCCTCAGAGAAGCCGGCCTCCGCGCCGAAGAGCACACCAACATCGTCGGGATCTACCTCGACATCGACCCCCGGACAAGCCCCCAGGACCCAGAGGATGTCATCTTAGCTTCTAGACGGGAACTAGAGCGTCGAATGACAGAGGAGGAGGCGCGTTATGCCAATCCACGGGGCAAGCCCCGGAACCATCGTATCAGGGTGTATTGGAGGTTCCCGTCTGGGGCGCAGACGGCTGAAGAGGTGTTCAAGGAGGCGTGGATATACAATATGGCGTTTGAGGATATACTTGAGAAGCGGAAGGAGTTTGGATTTCCGGTGTTGTTGGATGGGTGTTGTATGGTTGATATCCTTGTTCCTGATCGCGATAGGAAGGTAAATGATGTTTCTGTTACGAATGTTGGGTATTTTTCTTGGGAGGACTTTCTGTCGAAGGTTAAGCCTGCTTTTCCGGATAAAGATAATCCTGGAACTTATGTTGGGTTTTAGTGTAGTGGTGGGACTGTATGATCATTGTTTTTGTGTGGTTCAAAGCATCTCAGATTCAATATTGCAAGATTCAATTCATAAAACTAGTAGTAATAGCAAAACCATTAACGAGTGTGTCTAAGTCACCAGCGACGGTGAGACCACATACTCTATCGTTGAATCTAACATAACATTGTTATGGAAATGTAGTCTATGCATGTCCAAGCACATAGGGTATCTTTCGTCTCCTCGTAACAAGTCATTTCCCTGTCTTCTTCGTTCTCTTAGTTCGGGTTGAGCCATGATATCGTTACTTTGAGCGTCGTGTTGACGCCCAGAATCGTGCTGTAAGAAAAATTTAGAATTAATAGTGATCTTTTCGGCGTCCGTCGTTGGGATGCATGGGACGTATCCAACTTGAATTGGCATCAATTCGATTCCACCATCCGGTTGCGCAGAGCTAGCACATCCATAGGCTGAGAATCACCACCTTCCCATGCAGTCTTAATGGCTTTAACCAATTGCCAAACCGCGTTTCGGGCTTCTTCGCGGCCCGCCCCAGCATGGAGCATGGATTCATACGGAGTATGCATGTGTCGAATATGAGCCTCCACCGCCAAATCAGCCTTGCGTTCGTCCGATTTGGTCCCCGTGCGTCCGACTCGACCGGAACCTTTGAGAAATGCGTGATTCAGAATCGCCTCCAAAGATTCCGCAGGCATTAATGGGAATTGAGTGCGGAGAATTTGTCGAGAGTGAGCCAGGTCTTTCTCGTCGCGAACTTTGACAGCATTTGCGCGCGTCTCAGCGGTCGCAGCGGCAGACTCGAGAACAGCGGCGTAGATGTCAGATGGCACACGGATGCCGAGGGTCCTCTTCCCTGTCTTGTCCTGCAGCCGGTTAGAACCTTAATCGTTAACGGGGCAACATCATCCCTTACAAACACGGTATAGACTGTGCGCTCAGATTCCTTCGTGTTCGTTCGACAGTTACGAGTAACATAGACATCGCCCTTGGGGACAAACACATAACCTGTGGCAAATGGTTCCTTTTCAAAACAGTTCTGTTCGTGGACTCCCGTTAGCGAGACATTCTTGCATGCGCTAGCAGCTGCAGGTAAGGGTCAGGGGGAGAGGGTCCCCAAACGTAACCCAGCATTTAATAGCGTAAGAAAACACACGCCCACACACATACCTTTTCGAACGGTTCTGTTGACCGCGGGATCAAACCGAACTTGGAATACTTCGAAGTCCGTCCCCCACCTTTGCGCTCTGCGCGGGCTATTCTATTGTTACTGCCGGTACCGAAAAGCCCTCCACGACCACGTCTGCTCGTGAGACTATTTCTGCGAGCCTGAGCTAGGATGGACTGAGGCGATTTCGGAGGAGTAAAGGTTTTCGGGAGATTCCTTCGGCGGCCTCCCGACCTCCTCGGAGCACGTCTCCGGGAGATTCTGTTCGCCGATGTCATGTTATTTGGCAAATGAGTCTAGATAAATTTATGGGGAAGATAGATTGCGAGATCCAGCCTAGTTTAAAGAGTGGCGATGATACGAGATTCGTAATAATAGATGGTTCTGAAGTGCTTGCTGTAGCCTGGCCCCCGAATTCGGCTGCTAATAGATATCACCGACTACCAACATCAAGGGATTGATAAGGAAGAGAAAGAGCGATGTCTGACACAAACGGTGAAACTAGAAGGTGTCGCCATGACGTGGACATGTAGCTTGATGTAGCCTGTTTAAAAATCCATTTTGGGGAGTTAAGCCTCGCGGCATTCAACCAGAGAGTATGGATCATGCATAAATACGTATGCCAGATGAGGGCGATGATCTTCACTTTTCTGCCCAAAACCCTCGCGTATCAATTCCGAGCGGTCACCGATTCCGCGGGGAACTAGTGGCTGAGGACTGTGGCTGGTGTCTAGAGTGCATGTGTATGCCTGAGGTGTCAGCAACGTCTGGTGGGAATGGATAGGTCTCTGAGAACGTCACGATGGTTGGGGGTTATCTGGTATGGACAACTCAAATAACTCCAAACTCTCGAGACCAATTTCTAGAACAAGGTGGCATTATCTGGTCTACTGAGGTACTCAGTTAGGAACCCGCAGTGCTTGAAATTTCAACTGCTACTTCTGCTGATTAGTAGAGAGTATTTACCCTGAGGGCCCGAGTGCTGTCGACGAAATGGCTAATCAATGACTGTCTGAATAACAGTGTTATGAGTGGTATCGTCAAGTTTTTCCGTGATTGTCAGCGTATTGCAATCCGTCAGGTACAGTTATGGCAATCAAAGATTTCTACTTCGTACTCAAAAGGGTCTCGCGCAATGCAAGGACAATTCACCTTCAATGAGACGTTATCGCCTTCTGACCGCAGGTTACTGAACACAGTTGTTAAGATGGCAGTAATATCCAAATTAGAATATTAATCCGAGGGCCAAAAGAAGTCGTTCCCGTCCACCGGGATGGAAGGTGGTATAGAGATTGCAAAGTCCCTCCATAAACAGACTCTTTTCTTTCTGGCTTCAGTGCGAAGCTTATGCAACTCCAGCACAAAACGACGTACCTAGTAGTTATTTCATATATGCCTAACTACGGAATTCTCATGCTATAGCTGCTGCTTTCAGTCTTGTTGATTGGCTATGTTTTGATCTGGCCACCTGTTCCACAAGGGCAGCAGGTATTTGTAAACGGCGAGTTTTCAATGTTCCCCTCGACCTTGCATTGAACCTGGGGCACTAGTTGGACACAATGTTAAGACCATTGGCACGAAGATGCTGTTATTCGATGATCTCTTTTGAAGCTACTAAAGATGGCGTTCCGTGCAGACTGGATTATTAACATTCTATACTCGAATGACAAAACTCGAACAATCGATGGTAGCGCTCCTATTGGCAAAAGCAAGTTGCCGCCCAGGTACCGGGAAAAATGCTGTACATAAAGTCTCTATATAGTCTGAGTGCTTGTAGGCCTTTGGTTCATGCAACTGGAGATACACTGTTATCTTTCGTATACAAAGCATATATTTATATACGATTTATAGCGGTTTCGAGACATTCGTAAGCTATTATTTGTATGAAAAAGTATGCCATATACTGCTAGAAAGACGAGTTGACTGCGATACTATCATTCATTTCACAATGAACGAAACTAGACATCATATCGCTCGGCTCCGAATAGTCCCGAAAAAGCAAAGGACAAAAGAGGGAATTACTAGCGTGATAGGCAAGCCAAGGTCTGCTGGTGCGAACAACCAATGAACCCCAGAATTAAGACGAGATACAATGATTCAAACAGGAAAAAATGATCAGTTGTCCTACATGGAGACCATGAAGCAGTAACCAGTAAAAGATCATCAGGCATATCTATATCATAGTTGACGCCATAACCTAAACAATTACAATGTGAATGTAAACGGTGAAGACAAGGATAATAATATACAGAAAGGGACTAATATGAATCGAATCTTGCATCCGCCTGTATCTATTTAAATTCTCAATGATAGATATTGGCCAAAAACAAGCACATAGTGCGATAGTACCATGGGATTTGTCAAGCGTTGCTATCCAGCCCATGGTATCCCAAAGCAACGCAGTCTAGGGGTACAGCCCTAGAGGGGCAGTAGGGCAAAATAAGAGACAATCTTATCCCCAGGAACCTTAGCCCACAGGGGCAATAGGGGGTATGTACGATGTACGATGCACAGATATCAGATCACAAGGATCTACCCGGCACGAGGGAGAGACATGTCGATGTAAGGTGAGGTGAGCACCTGCCAAAACACAGTTATCGATCTTCGAGCATGAGATCTAAAGTCTGTTGGTTCTTGACCATACTTTTAAGATTCTAAATTGTGGTTGAGTTTCTTGAAAATCGTCCATAGACTTTACTTGGATTGGCCCGAATCGTGCATGTTGGAAGTTAATCCATGTCGCTTATCAAGGGCCACTATATATAACTTTTAACGATAAGCCATTAAGGGTTGAGAGGAGATACTCCTCAGCCGGACTTGTCCGACCCGAGCCCAGCCGGGTGTGACTGGAATGGTCAATCGAAGCGAGAGGTACACAGTAAATGGTTAACATATTAAATTGTTCTAAAGAATCTTGCAAATTGTAGGATCAATATATATAGATTGAGGGTCGTGCCAAAACATCCTCTCGGTACTGTTCATTATTCCCATCAAACTGTGGTGGCAGGAACGGGAATATAAGTAGGGTTATCGGTACCCCGTACAGCTGGCAACTTGACCAAAGTGGTATGCAAAATGTTGATCCTGAAAGAAGACCAACAATATTGATCTTGGCAGATCGAACTCCTTACCGATGTTCTCAACTTTAACCGCGAGGCCAATCGAATTCGGGGAGTAGCATGTTGATAAAAAAAAAAAAAAAAAAAAAAAGAGAAAAGAATAATGATAATAATAAAGGTAGTTAGGCAATCACCTAGGCTGCAGCGCCGCCATGTCAGGGGGGATGGCCATTATTCTTCGAGTGTATGCACGATGTACAGCTATTCCTGCGGGATTACACCGCAGGCCGCTACTAGTTCGCTGCAGGTCCCAATGCTCGCGTGCAGCACTAGCCATCTCTGGTTCGCACTGTTTGCTGTTACTGTCAGGACTCAGGAATCAGGACTTAGGAATCATGCCGACCGTAAAGAGAATCGCTGTGGGGAAGGAAATCGCCTGATGGAATGGAATAACCGGTTTAGTAGCTTCATAATTAAACGTCACACCAGGAGCAACCTCGGAAAGGGCCCCCCAACCATATCAAATTTCCCTGGAGCATGCTGACGCCCTGAAAGTGAGTGAATAGTAATAGTATTGCTGACCGGAGTTTCAGGCCCCATCGGGCTGAGCACCGTAAGAGTCTCATTGGACGGATCAACGCTGGCAAGACAGGGGCAACTTGGAGAGTGCAAGTTGAGAGTCTAGAATGTCGCCTCATGTCCGATCGCCTGAATGTGGTTATGCCTAAACGGGTAATATTAGCTGGAGTCGGTCACGGGGGGAAGGAAGG